ACTGTGTACATCACCATTGGCCTCGTCCTCCACTCCTTCCCTATATAATACCACCTTTATCCCCTCAATTCTCCACAATTTCTTACCATTCTTATATCTATTCTGTTGCTGGGAGTGAGGAGAAGGCAGTGGTGCTATCATATTGGCGAGAGGTCGCCGGAGTTGGGAGTTATCGTAAAGTTTCGCCGGAAAATTCTCAAAACCTCCATTAAGCTTCGAGGTAAGCCCGTAGATATATCTAGTAACTAGAATGTTCGTATAGATTGTTTCTACGTTCATAAACGGTCATTTGGTTGAGTTTTGTGTTTGACATGTTTGAAGAACCAAGAATCATAAACCATGAAATTGTTGTTAAAACTACGAATTAATGACTCTAAAATGATCTGGGAACATTAGGAAACATTCATATATAATTTAATTGAAGTTTGGTGATTAAAAATGAAAATACTCAAAACTGACCATAGGAAGAAGATGATGAACAGTAGCCAAAAATCCATTATTTCCTTCCTACGAATCGATTAGAACTGTGTTCAGAAGAGGAATTCGAAGTCAGTATGTTTAAAAATAATAAAAATCGATTATTTTAATCATAAAAATCGATTTACAGTTATTAATCGATTATTTTAATTATAAAAATCGATTTTCAAGTATTAATTGATTATTTTAAATATAAAAATCGATTTTTAGTAATTAATTGATTATTTAAAATATAAAAATCGATTTTTAGCAATTAATTGATTATTTAAAATATAAAATTCGATTTTTAGCAATTAATTGATTATTTAAAATATAAAAATCGATTTTTAGCTATTAATGGATTATTTTAAATATAAAAATTGATTTTTAGGTATTAATTGGATTTTTAAAAATAAAAATCGATTTTTCTCAAGTCGAGATCTTGTTCCGAAAATATTCGGAAAATATATGCTCTAAAATCCACCAATTGATTATGATCATTGGAAAAATGATTTACCATAATAAAAATGATGTTTTTAACAAATAAAATTGTTATGTGATGCATGACGGTAAGTTAGGGTGTTAACACCCGAAGCTAGGCCGCTAATTGTTATTGAATATTATGTTGATTGATGATTATGGTAATGATTATTGATTGATGATTATGATGATTGAATCTTGATGAATATTCTGATTAAAAATGATAATTGTGAATGATTAAATTATAATGAATATATTGATGACTGTGAAAATAATATGTATTGTTAAGGGTATCTAGAAGACCTCTAAGATATACTCATATTAATGTTAATTTGAAAGGTATCTAGAAGACCTCTAAGATCTACCTATTTAAGTTAGGCCTTGCGGGTATGAACCCCGGTGGCTAGGGTTAAAACGTACGTACGGGATCCAAGAACCAAACTTGATTACCTACTCGTTTGGGGGTACCACCCACCCAACAGTGAACACTACGCTGTCGGTTTTTGGTTGGCCTTAAGTGAAGGTAAGTTTAAAATTTTCAAAACCCTTTTATCTTAAACTAGGCCTAGCTTAAGGATTATTTAGAAATATTTTATACTGGAATATAGTTTAATTATTTAAACTAGAATTCGTTTAAGGGTTGACAAATATTAAAGTAATTGCCCTTAGACTAAGAATAGTTTAAGGATATTGTTGAATATTGAATATTGAATATTGAATATTGAATATGAGTAAATATTGAATGATGAATACTGAATTGAATATTGCAATTATTATGAATGACTAATGAACATTGAATGTGAATATAAATGTTGAATAATGCATGATGAATAATTTTTAATAATTATTGATTATCTGAACTGAACATTATGTGCATGATATCAAATGATTTGATTATGAATTTAGATTCAGTTTATATGGATGTTCGATGCATTAAATATGCTTACTCAGCTTCAACACTGAGCGTGTAGTATGTTTTATTTGCTACACGCAGGTTAATGAAGTGACGTGATCCTGGAGGCAGACGGAGGCGAGATTGTCGGAATGGATGTGATGGTTTTGAATTAAAGAACATAAATAAATTATGTTTGTGATTATGATTGTTAAGCTTCCGCAATATTGAAAACTTCGTACGGTTTATATTATGAAAAATATTATTGTGATAAATAAAAGTGTTTGAAATGTTTTAAATTTTTACGATTACCAAGTTAATACTTTAATCTGAAAGGGGCTGCAGACCTGGAAGGATTAGGGTGTTACACAAATAATATCACAAGTATTTCGATATACTGTGTGCTAAAAATGATGTTCGATTGAATGAGAAATTAATTGACAAAGTTGACCACTTGAAAGAAGTAAATGCTGCAAAATTCATATGCACCACAATGGATTTTGAAGCCTTTCATCTTCTGCTGTGTATATGGTAGCATTTACTTACGTTGTATAAGTATTTTGAGAAGAAAGAGTGAAAGGAAGCTCGCGCGCTGCCGCTGACCGGCTCGACTTGGCCCAACACAGGTGCGCGGACGTGACAGCGTCTTGGCGTGTGAGTGCGCAACGTGGTGAGATGTGCAGTGGCACGAGCGAGGGCGAGGACCAAGTCCTATATTTTTATGAGATCTACTTGAACATGTGTGGGGACTTCGTCACGCTTCGTATAGTCTACCCCGTGTCTAAGGAGTGCTTCATTGCAGAGAAAATTAAAAATACATTCGAACAAACAAATTATCTACTTGCACTCCAATTCTCTCTCACATTCTATCCTTAGCTTTCAGTTTTCTTTTCTGGCCATTTTCTGATGAGTGACTTCTCTTCATCCCAGTTCGTTGGTGCACTATTCTCCTACTATAGACTTTGCACGTTAGTGATTTTATCCTAGGAGGAGACCACCCATGTTGTCAGTGCGGGAGGCAGGCGATACTATCTTAAGGACATTTCCGACAACCCCGTTGTCCTTATTATCGATCTCACAATTTATTTCGTTGCTGGTAGGTTCACCTTCATTTGCTATCTTCTTCCTCCGCTGCTAGTCACGCTCCCAAATTTGAAGCTTCCATCACTGCACGACTTCATCTTTTTCTTTTGATTTATTCTGTAAAACATGTATACTTTATAAATTCGGATTAGAAATTTCTCATTTCTTCTTGTAAACCGTACTGTTGTATGTCAACCTCCATTAAAAATGAGGAAAAATTAAAAGATTAAGTTCAGATAGAAAAGGTGTTGAGTTTTTTTGTGTCATTTACCCACGAACTCTTCAAAAATTACGTGCATTACTCCTTAACTTTAAAAGTTACACCAATGGTCCTTAAAATTTTAAAAATCTTTCATCAATGGTCCCTCTACGCCAGATTTGGAGTGTGTTAATCACACGTTCATCAATATACCAGTTGGAGCTTGATGAAAATGTCATATATTGATGAAAATATTGATCGATTGATGAAAATGTTGATCGATTGATGAAAAATTGAATCAACTAATGCCCGGGCTTCGAGTTCGGTTATCGATGACTAAAGGGAGAATAATTATCTAGGAGTATAAAAAAATGTTTGGGAATTGATCGAAGATATATTGGAAAGCTCACGTGTGATTCACACTTTTGAATCTGACATAAAGAGACTATTAGCGCAATGCCTTAAAAAGTTCAAAGACCATTAGTGCAAATTTTAAAGTTCAGAAGGAATCCGTGTAATTTTTGATAAGTTTGAGAGTAATTGATGCAAAAAAGTCAAAAAAATAGGTACTCCCTCTGTCCTAATTTTGATTACAATTTTATTTTCTCTCTCATCTCAATAATTTTTGTTGGTTTTTATATTTTCATTGATTACTTGATAAAATAAAATATTCTTGTTATTTCTTGTTTTGTAGAACTTTTGATGTAGTTTTTTAACATGTAAATTTTTATTTCTTAGTGATAAACCAATTTTTAAATAAAATAATTTCAAAAATAATAAATTTTATCTCATAATTCCTATTTTGTAATCAAAATAAAGACAAAGAGAGTATTAGATTATTTTTAAAAAGAGTAAATTTCATAAAAGGTCCTCAGTTAAAGGTCGTTTTACATATTTAGTCCCTACATATCACATATTACTAATTTAGTCCTCAATTATTATATTCATTTCCACGAATGGTCCTTTGTTAACATTTCCGTTAAGAATGTGGATAAAATTGTAAATTCACAATGTTTTCTCTCCTCAATTAAGTTTCTTTCCTTTCCTCGCACTCTTTTCCCAAACCTGCCGCTGAGTTTGAAGCTTTGAACCCAAAACCGAAATTATCATTCTTCTCTCAATTGTTTGTCGAACTAGTGGTATTCAAATTTGAAATCAGTAACCTTCATGAATGTGTTTTAATATTTATTTTTTTTACAATTTCTTGAGACTAACCGATAAAACTCATCCATAAAACTTATTAAAAGAGGAGTGATCATTTTCAGTTTTGGGTTTAGAGCTTCAAACTCAGCGACGAGTTTGAGAAAAAGTACGAGAGGAGGGATGAAGCTTAATTTAGGGAAGAGAGAAATATGAATATACAATTTTATTCATGTTCTTAATAAAAATGTTAACAAAAGACCATTCGTGAAAAATGATATAATAATTGAGAACTAAATTAGTAATATCTGATATATAGGACTAAATATGTAAAACGACCTATAACTGTAATAGGAGACTTTTTATGGACTCTTTTACAAAACTAACTAAAGTGTGACAAGAACCGATAGGAGAGAATGAGCACATGCAGACTCATGGGCTCAGAAGCTCCAATCGTGTAAGCTTCTGGTACCTGTGGTACGGATTCACCCCTAAATTCGGGGAGTGTCTTTAATTTCAAAAAAAAAGTTTCCCATTTTCTTTGCTTATTTCTTCCACTTCTTCTATCTTCATCCGAAATTTATGCTGGATTCGTTTTAATTTTCTGAGTATCTCTTTATATTTTATAGTTGCGCTGACACAAAACTTCTCTTTGAACCCAAGTTTCCCCATTACTACGAGCAAAGTTGGTTTCTTTCAACTGCCTTCCGCTCTGATTTCATCAAACCTTCATAACCCCATTTCGCCATTGTGAATCTGGGCAGTTCTTCTCTGTTTCTTGAAACCCCCCATTTCCCCGACCTGTGGGTTGGGTTTTCTTGATCTGGTGGGCTATTTCACTTCTGGATCTCTGCAATGCCACTCACCAGTGTTCTTGTGTGAGAGAAAGAAGATGAACATTCATGTCTTTCTTCAATTTCTTTTGGTCTCCAGTGGGATCTTTCTTGTGGGTTCTGCTGATTTTCCTTCAGATGAAGGTAGGGTTCTTGGATTCACTCTGCATTTATCCCATAGATCTGCAAAATTTAGTCTCTTGCTGTAAATTTGGGTTTTTTTCACAGTGATTGCTCTTACAAAGTTCAAGGAAGCTATATATGAAGACCCACGTCTGGTATTGTCTAGTTGGAATGACTTAGATTCAGACCCTTGTAATTGGTATGGCATTTCTTGTTCTATGGCTGCTGGAGATCATGTCTTGAAAATGTAAGAATTTTCTTTAATATTTTACTGTCTATTTGTTATTATGAACACTCGTATTTATTTTTACTGTCTCTTTGTTGTCTAATTTTTATGTGTTATGTTGCAGAAACATTTCTGGGGCATCTTTAAAGGGCTTTCTTGCTCCAGACTTGTATCTCATTTCGTATTTGGAAGAACTGTAAGCCCGTTATTTTGTTTTACTTCTGAAAATGCAAACAAAAATGTAATAGGATAACTGTTTTTATTTCTACATGGATTAGGTTCATTATTCTTTGAATAATAGAGATTAGAGATAGATTAAAAAAATGAGATTGATTAAATTTAGAAAATAAAGTGTTTGAGTTTGCACAAATGTTTTATACGGAGTATAAATAAAGTTCTTGAGTTTGAATAAAGTTCTTGAGCATTCACCTACTTCTGGTATACTTTTTCTGCCTGTTTTATTTCCCTATAATTTTCCAAGTTCCGAATGTACCCTTGATGCCACTAGAGTCTTGATTAGTGTTATGCTGGTGATGCACAGAATCTTGAATGGAAACCTGCTGATGGGTACAATACCTAAAGAAATAGGGTTGTTAAAGAACCTCAGAATCTTGGATTTGGGCAATAACCGGCTTACAGGATCAATCCCCAGGGAGATTGGAAATCTACCAAAAATCGTAAAAATGTTGGTGAAACTTGGACTGTTTGACATCAAGCATTCTGATTGTGTTTTTGAATTTAATTTCTTACCTTTCTTTTCACTTTGCAGAAACCTTCGATCCAATGGTTTGTCTGGAAGATTTCCCTATGAGCTTATTCGCAATTTGAAGTTCCTCGAAGAACTTCGGGTTGATAGGAATAAGCTCCTAGGGATGGTCCTTGGGAGTAATGTTGCATACTCTACATCTAGTGTACATGGGATGTAAGTATGCTTTTACATGAATACTTAGGGCCCGTTTGGTATCATTTATTTCAGGCTTTCAGCCATTTAAGTGAAAAGCTGTTTTTAAGTAAAACAAAACCTAGAACTTGCAACCAAACAGAGCCTTAATCTTGCTTTAACAGTAGAAAAAGTAGCTGTAAATCTACGGCGTGAAGTTCATATATTTAAATCTTTTAACTGTTTTAGGTATGCGTCTGGTGGGAATCCGGTCGGCGTTTGTCGTTCATCTAAACTAAAAGTTGCAGATTTTTCATACAACTTCTTTGTTGGAAGGATACCAAAATGCTTGAGTTACCTTCCAAAGTAATCCTCTCTTCATCTTGATTTTGCTTTTGTTGTTATTCTCAATCATTTTTTTAAAAATAAAATCTTATTAAACTTGTATCTGTTCCAAGGTCAAGCTTTCAAGGGAACTGCCTTCAAGTCCATGATATTAAGCAGCGGCCTCTTGCTCAATGTGGTATGTAAATGCCCTATAATTTTCTGAAAAAAAAAAGAATCTCAAAAATTCAACTCGCTTGTTCGTTCTTTTGAAGGGTAAAAATGTCAAAAGTAGAGCTTAACCTTCTTGACTTTACAGGTCATGATGGACCACCAACACACAAAACCCATCCTCATGCAGTGACCAAACATAAGTATGGCTCAAGAAAACCGCGATGGCTGTTTGGACTGGAAGTGATGACAGGGATAATGGCAGGCACCCTCTTTCTAGCGGCTCTTCTCACTACATTTCACAAGTTCAACAACAAATCCTCAATTGTCATCCCTTGGAAGAAGTCAGGTAGCATCAAGGACGATCACACGACGATTTACGTAGGTAAAATAGTTTGACTTCACGGAGTTTTAAAGAAAGATATATTGAAAAGTAAAAAAGAGAAGAGTTGGGAGGGCGTGAATATACTATTCCTCCAAAATTGGGGGACCAAAAGTGCAATTTTCACACACCCTTTATCGTGTGCTTTTAACAGACACTGAGATGCTGAAGGATGTAGTGAGGTACAGCAGGGAAGAGGTGGAGGTGGCGTGCGAAGACTTCAGCAATATTATCGTATCCTCAACCAACAGCTTGGTGTACAAGGGGACGATGATAGGTGGGCCCGAGATCGCGGTGATATCCGTTTGTGTCAAAGAAGAGAACTGGACCGCCTATCTTGAGCTTTACTTTCAGAAAGAGGCGGAAGAACTTGCGAGGATTGATCATGAGAATGCAGCAAAACTGTTGGGGTATTGTAGGGAAAGCAGCCCTTTTACAAGGATGTTGGTGTTTGAGTATGCGCCAAATGGGACCTTATATGAACACCTTCACTGTAAGTTTGAACGCTTAGGGTCTGTTTGGAAGTCGGAAAATATTTCATCTTGAAAAAAAACATTTCTTTCATTTCCTTTCAAAAGAGTTTTAAAAGTACTTTGTGTGTGTTTGGAGGGTAATGTTGTAATTTAATTCTACACACAGATGGAGAAGCCTGCCAACTGTCATGGACAAGAAGGATGAAAATTGTGATTGGTATTGCTAAGGGGTTAAAATATCTCCAAACAGAACTTAAGCCTCCATTCACTATATCTGAACTGAATTCAAATTCTGTGTATCTCACTGAAGATTTCACTCCCAAGGTAACAAAGTTCTCTCTTAGCATCATACACACAAACTTTCATTCTAATTATATTATCTTTTTTACTGTAGAATTTAAATAAATAAAGCTTGGAAAGGATATGATATATTTCACTTCATGACTAAGGCATGTTTGGTCGTAGGGGAAAGGAATTGAGGCTGAGGAATAAAAATTCTTGTAATCCTCACCCTTCCTCTCCTTTCCCTCCCCTATCCTCCAACCTAATACACCCTAAAAGATACAAACTTGAAGTTCTATTTTTTATTTTTTATTAATTATTTTGCAACAAAAGAATATGGAGAAATATACCAGCTATTTTTCCCAACATAAATTCATTATGATGGGAAATGAAAATTCATAAAAATTTAAAGGGAAAACTTAAAAGTTAAGGCCTTTCATTGTTTGTCCTATTTCCCCTTTCTTTTGATTAGTGAATAGGAAATTATATATTTTTAAAGATCCATGATTTCATTCATTATTTGTGTTCATTTTGGAGGGAAAACTGTAAGGAAAGGAAAGTTGTGGGAAAATAGGGGATACATTCAATCTCAATATATTTACTTTTAAATATTTATTCAAAAGCAGTTATTTATTTATTTTTTTATATAAAACAACAACAAGAACCCCAGTAAGATCCCACGAAAAGCGGGGATATTCCTATCTTTTATATAAACACAAAAGAAATTCAAAGAAAAAGAAACAATAAAAAACACTCATTATGTTATTTTCCTTTGCATTGTCTAAGGTAAAAGCCAGGCAATTAGGCAAACACAATAACATTCCCTAGCATTTTCTTGTCCATTTGGGTGCAGCTGGTTGATTTTGAAAGCTGGGAGACAATCCTCTCAAGATCAGAGAAGAATTATATAAGCAGTGAAGGTGCAATTTGCATCCTTCCGAATTCACTGGAGGGACGCCACCTGGATTTCCACGGAAACCTATATGCGTTCGGACTGCTTCTTCTTGAAATCATCAGCGGCCGACCTCCCTACTGCAAAGACAAAGGATCCTTACTCGATTGGGTAACAANCCCCCCCCCCCCCTCCCGATTAATTTGAGAAAATATATCTGCAATACAAAGAAAAAAAACGAGTTTTTGCTTATAAGCTGCTTATAAGCCAGAAAAAATAAGTAGGTCTTACTGACTTATTTTTAAACTAGCTTTTTACGTTTCTCTGTTTTGAACATATTATTTACAAAACTATGTGTCACCTGTTATAGATTTCTCCAAATGACGTATATATCATTTAAGTCATTTTATCTACACGAAAGAGTATTTGACTTTTAAGCAACTTATAAGTTAAAAACTGCTTATCAGCAATAAGTCGCTAAACACTAGCACAGAGAAACACCAAAAAAGAAAAGGTGAAAAAAGATTGAGTTTTTTGCCATTTTTATCTGCGTTGCAGGCTAGGGAATTTCTTGACGTTCCTGAGGTAAGGTCGCGTTTGGTGGATCCGGAACTGAAGCATTTCCGATACGAAGAGCTGGAAGTGGTCTGTGAGGTGATCAAAACATGTGTTTGTACAGATGAGACTTGCAGAAGCTCGATGGCGGATTTGTGTGGCCTGCTGGAAAGCAAGATTGACACATCCGTATCTGCCGAGCTGAACGGATGCTCTCCCTCGTTAGCGTGGGCCCAGCTGGCACTTTCGTCCCCCTGACAGTCTGAACAACAACAACAACACTGTAAACAAGTGTGACACATTGGCTACTGTGAAAAGAGCTAACAGATTCTTTTTACACTTACTACTGAACATTAGTTAGTATATGCTGCAGAAGGTAAAAATAGTTAGAGATTGTGAGATTGTATATTTTTGTTTACAGCTGTTGTATAGTATTTGAAAAAGATTAGGGGCTTTGTTTGGTGGCTAGTTTTGGCTAGTTACACTTGAAAGCAAAAATAAGTAGTTTTTGACTTGCTTATATGGCTCAAATAGATGTAACCAAACACTTCCTTTTCGAGATGATATCCAATCCGGGTCGGACTGGGTGGTCTGTCTGGTCAAACCGTCAATCAGACATGAATCGGGAATAGCAAAAACCCGGTGAGAACGGGCAACCCGCATTACCTGGCCGGTTTGCGGGTATTGCTACTTTTTAGTATTTTGTTGTTTGGCTATGGATTCTATTTTGTTTCTTGTTGGCCTCCTAAATAGTAATCTTATTTTATGAACCTTCAAGGTTCGAAGAAAAAAAGAAAAGAACATTACTCGTTTTTTTTTAAATTAACATGTTTTTTGTCTACAAATAAATTTAAGTACTGTATTACCTTATTGACATCTTAGAAAATCAAGTATCCCATCTATTAGCCTGGTTCACTTTTCGTGCGGGAGAACTCTGAAAATTGCCAAAAAAAAGTGAAAAAGAATTCAAACTGTAAATTCGGCCTATATTTACACTATGTTTGGTTCAAGGAATTTGAAAGGGAAAAAATGAAAATGAAATAGAAAACAATTTTTTTTGTTTGGTTAGAGAGGAAAAAAAGTAAAAGTGGAAGTAAAAATAATGAGAAGACAAAATGTATCAAGTGGAGGAAAACTAAATTTCTCTCAATGAGAGAAAATCATTCTTTTCTTTCCCTTCCAAATTTCTTGAACCAAACATAGTGTTAGGGACCGCTTGGAAAAAATGAAAAATAATTTATGAGAACTAAATCCATTTTCTAGTGTTCAAGTATAAGTTTGAAAAATGAAATAAAAATAATTTCTGACGTCATAATATAATAAAACAAGGTGAGTTTCAATCTAAGTGGGAAAAGAGTAAAAATGCCTTGCATTTTGTCAACAAGAGTGTACGGAGTACTATTTTTCCAAAATAAGCAATAGAAATATAACTTTGGGAAGTGATTTCCCAACTTTCCCAACATAAAATGGGTCGGAGTAAATTAGTCTATGTACTCAAAATCGAAACAATTTAGTCTTTGTATTATTCGTTTTTGTTTTACCCGGTTCTTCTGTTTATTTTCTATAAACGGAAGAATCGTATAGAACAAAATAAAATGAATAGTACTACATGGACTAAATCGCCTCAATTTCGAGTACATGAACTACATTGCACACATTTTTAATTTTAAATAGTACAAGGACCTCAGTGTAATCTTGTTATTCAGACACTCTTGAGGGAATCCCAGAGCACAGTGAGATCCACATTTCCCCCAGAGATGACAATGGCCACATTTCTGCAGTTATTCCATGCAGGGTTGTTTCTGAAACCGTCGGAAAGAACGGCAGCAAGGCCGATTGCTCCACTCGGCTCCACGGAGACCTTCAGAATCCCGTAGCAGAGTCTCATGGCTTCGATTATCTCTTTATCATCAACGACGATGATGTCATCGACGAGATCACGGACAATGGGCCTGTTTTGCAGAAACTGCCATGTTAGTTTTGAGTTTTAACTATCATTTGTTAAAACCATTTCATCACACAAAACCTCTGGCATACTACAAAAACCAGAGGGAGGATTTTAGGTTTGTCGCAGTAAGTCTGGCATTAGTTAATACCCCTTGGTTCCCATTACATTGGGAACCAATGTCATGGGATGACCCGGGGACGCTCCGGTGTCCCGTTCGTAAAATTGACGGTTCCTACTCCTCCTAACCCAACCGGTAAACCCCCCCACTCCGCCCCGACCCGGTAAACCTTCCCCTAGTTAATAAGGGTACTTTTGGCAAATATAAGGGTACTTTCGGAAAATATAAGGGCACTCCCAGGTGTGAAAACATTACCAAGTGAGATCTCCAAGACACGCACGGAGGCCATCTGCAACAGTGTTAACCTCTGGCATTATGATAATCCTATTAGCTGCCTTTGATTTTGCAGCATCGTCGGCTCCCTTTGGTTCGGCAGCCAAAACACGTATGGACGGATTGATGGACTTTGCAGCCAAAGCCACCCCTGATATAAGACCTCCCCCTGCAAAAACCCAAAGAGAGAAAACACCTTTATATATGCAACAACAACCTAGTAAAATTCCACGAAAATAGGGTCTGGGGAGTGTGTGTAGAGAGGCTACTTGGCAGACAGTAGAGAGGTTGTTTCAATTTTCAGAAAGACCCTCGGGTCGAACACAAAAGTACGAACAAAGAAGACACACGAGCATGAACTTATTATGAATGTGTAAATTATGAATGTGGTTTGTGATATGAGAGAAACTAATATACTTGACCTCGTTAGAGCCATATGCCATTGGGTCTCCCTACCACTACGGTGGGACACAACCCCAGACTCTTGCAAAGCAGAGATGCTTTGTGCATTGGGTCACCAGGACCCTTCCTTGAGCATTTATAATTGAGTCTATGTAATTGATTCTTTGTGTGAATTTGGTCGCAAGGAAAACAAAGTGAAGATACCACTAATTGGAACGACTATCGTATCAATTTGGGGAGCTTGTTCTAGAAGCTCCAACGATATTGTACCTTGCCCGCTGCAAAAACCAACAACAATAATAACAAACCCAATAAAATCCCATAAAAAGTCAAGTGTGAGGAGGATGTGTGTATGCAAACCTTACCCTTACTCAGAAGTAGAGAGACTGTTTTCAAGAGACACTCGGCTCAAACACACACGCATAACCAAACACGGTTTCTATAATAAGCGATAATAGGGCACGGAAATATTAGAGGCATACGAGTTTCTAAGACCTAGAGTTAAACTATAGCAAATTGTAGATTCAATCATTTACTTGCATTATGGACGACAAAACCACAATCCAATTATGGGTTCATCACAATACGTATTACATTTCGTATTAATACATACAAATGGGGGGTGGAAAATTAGAAAAAGAACAAAAAAGAAGTACCTTATAATGCGTGCATCGTTATACGGATGAATGAGGACAGCACCAGTATCTCGCAATACATTATTAGCAACATCCTCTCTGGACTTCATATTGGATTCACTCCATATCACTTTGCCACCATAACGGACCACATTCTCAACTTTGCATTTTGGGGCGTTTTTTGGGATGACTATATGCGCGTCAATCCCCCGGAGTTTTGCAGCCAGCGCAAGAGCTGCAGCGTGATTGCCACTGCGTTCCGAAGGATATATAGCAACATCATGGAACATCATACAACAAAGAGAAAAAAAACATGAAACAAACCCAGTAGAACTCCTCAAAAGTAGGGTCTGGAGAGGGCGTGTGTACATGGACCTAACTCTTACTTCGATTTAGAGAGACAGTTCAAAAGAAATCATCGGTTTAAAAAACATAGATAGAATAAAGAATTATTCTTAGAGCAATAATTTATTTGAATTAAACCTGCTGTGAGTAACAACCCCTTTAGCTGCCTGAGCATCACTGAGTGAAAATACAGCATTGCACGCCCCTCTAATTTTAAAAGCTCCACTGATACACATATATAAAAAAAAAGAGTAAATTTTATAACTAGTCTTTTATAACAGGGGGGTTTCCCCTATTTAGTCTTTTTAGTCATTTATTATCAAATAGTACCCCTGTGGTCATTCTTTTATATGTACCTTTCCACAAATAGTCTTTTTTTGATCTTCTGTCATGTTTGTGTTAATTTGAGGGCTAAAAATATAAATTCACAATGGCCATATAACTTTCTTGCCATACACAATTTCAGAAGTCGTTCCTGATTTGTCGTTTGTGAATCGTAGTCGCTTTCTACTACAATTATAGTCAATACTATTATGTTGTCCGTCTACCCGACATCAGAATACGCCATTGGATATAAGGTTATGTCAAATTACACTTTTAACTCTCAAATTAATACCAATATGACAAAAGGTAAAAAAAAGACTACTTGTGAAAGGGTACCTATAAAAAGGATCACGGGGGAATATTTTATAATGGAAGACTAAATAGGGAAAATCATATGTTATAAAGGACCAGTTATAAAATTTACTCTAAAAAAACATTTGATTTACCATTTAGAAAGAAAATAAACAATTGTTTCATCTACTTGAAAATACTAATTCTACCTAAATTTGTTGGTTATATACTATATTTAGCACTCTCAAAGTCAATCTGAACTAATCATAAACGTTTTCCCCAAATTAACCTATGAAATTCAGAGCTAAGCTTGAAGAACCCTGGCCTTTCGAGTATAGGAAAAGCCCTAATTTGGTTTCAGATGACCTAAAACGATCCATAATCTGAATGGGAATTAGGATACGATAAATTTCCAAAAATAAAAGAAATAAAAAAAATTTACCCCTTCTGAAAGGATTCACATTTGAAGAAGAGTTTTCTTCCTGCAAGAGAATCTAAGGAATGCGATGTGAGGACGGGGGTTGTGTGCACAAAAGGCCCGATTCGTTTGGCCGCCTCTCTGATGCTGGAAAGATTTGCTCCATAGTCGTCTTCCATCGTCTCCAATTCGAGCAGAGTAAAATGTATAAACAAATGGTTCCCATTCAAAATATAAAGGGTGATGTTATATTTTCCCATTCAAAATTTTTTTTCCCATTCAATTTTTTTTTTGTTTTTACCCTTTTTTATCAAACAGTTACACTCTTTGATTATAAATTGTAAGAAAAAAATATTTAATTATAATATAAATTAAATATAATTTGGTCTATCTAAGGATATAATTTTGATATATCAAAATTTTATTTAGATTATGTTTAATTTGTGGTGAAAGACTATTGCTGT